GGCTCCTCTATCTAAACTAGAGACTATATTATGATATAGAACTACAGCGGCATCTAAGGTACACCTACTATGTTTATGGGCAAACTGGTTGGGGTCATTAAAAGGCTTTAAAGAGGGTTCAAGATTAAGTTAAATAAGTCTTTCCATAACTTTTAAAAAGGTGAGGTAATAGCAATCGGTCGAAACTTAACAGTAAGTCCACTTGTTGATTTAGGCACTGGAACAACCTTGATATTTTTCCATGAGTCAGGAATAATACTTTTGGAAAAAGTTTCATTGAAAATGTCAGTTAATGGGTAACATAAGATGTCAGCACACTTCTTGAGGATAACAGCAGGAACTCCATCAGGACCAAGGGACTGAGAGACTGAAGACACTTAAGGACATCATTCGTGTTAAAACATGAGAAGCAGTCGTTATTTATACTATTAGATTTGGGAATCATAACATCTGCAGGGATACATATGAAGGATTTATTAAGCATGTCAACATCAACGGAAGTATCATTCATTATTTGCTTACCACCTCTGATTTCCTTTAATAGCTTCCACATATTAGATGAGGATTTACATGAGAGAAACTTCTGGTTATAGAGAGCATTTAGTCTTTGTAATTCGGCTTTAATTAAAGTGTTCATTCTCATAACGCCAGATTTATTTCTCATTTTGCACAACCTCTCTTTTTCACGGCGAAGCTTTTTGAGTTGAGAAGAGGAGAAGCGGTCGAATTTTAAGAAGATTGTCTCTTTTGGACAACGAACATCAAGACAGAAATTGAGATAATATGTTTTGTTACTAATTGTGTTATCAAGAGCTTGTTCAGTAAACAGGTCCCAGTTTATGTCTTTTAACATTGTCCTTAGACTCTGTATGTTGTCATGTGAATAACATCTGTGTTGTGTTTTCTTTCCAAGGTAGGAGAAGACCCTTTTGTGCTGCTTTCCATATACCTTGGGCAATAATCTTATGATGCAGTGATCAGAGTTAAGTAGTGGGGCTCTTTTGCGAGCTTCAAATATTCCTATGTCATTTGTAAACACAAGATCTAC